GGGTGCTAACACCCGAGGGGGGGGGGGGGGGGGGGGGGAAATTTTTCCCCCCTTGGGGGGGGGGGGGGCCCGGTTTTTTTTGGGGAACCCCCGTTCCCCCCCCCCCCCCCCCCCCCCCCTCCCTCCCATGTCGTTCTGCTGTGTACAGTATGTGTGCAAGTGTATTGACCTCGACTGCTGTGGTGAAACATTTATCTAAGGTAGCATGCGGCACTAGCGAAGGATTTGTATGAGCTTGGCTGTGGTGATAATTTTTATCGTGGGAGGCGTGTATGTGCATGCATGTGGTACACGATGAAGGGAAGGGACCGCTGGCATATGTTTCGTGCTTCGTCGAGTCCACGGCCGGCCGCGATAGGAACAAAGGAACGAAAGTGCGGCCTGCTGTAGACACCGGGACGGGGCATACCGACCTGTTCCCTTTGACGGGAGTGGCGTTCTGCTAAACTAGTTTTCTTCTCGCGGCGATGACGCTTTGTCCTTGAGCCAGCGGGCATTTCGTGAGATAACACACCCCCTTGCGCCGGCCATGTTGAATGAACCGATCCCCGTCGCTGTGGGGTACAGATTGGAATATTCTCTTCCTTTTTTTTCTTTTTTGACTGTCGCGTGCGATACGTACACTTCACGTACCAGTTTTTTTCGTTTTTGGTCAACACACAATACGAGAGGGGCCCAAGGGCCCCGTGTCCACAGCCACCCTTCAACGCAGGTGTAATACAACATGTACGTACGTACGACATACGCAGGTTGCGTTGGCGTGTGTTGTGTGTCTTGTTTTATATGGTATATATATTTTTTATTGGTGAAAGGCGCGGTCGAGTGCATCTGTACCGTCTGTGTCCTTTCTTTGAGTGGGGTGTGGCGCAGCCGTAGCCTGGGATGATCGGATCGCCTGCTGTTGTTGCTAAGTGACTTGCTTGGCGAAATGGCAAATGTATGTGTGCTACTCTTTCCATGTGGCTTACGTCCACAACGAAGGACGCATCGGGGACGGAGGGCGGAGAAAGGGGAGGAGTAGTAGTGTTTTGTGTGTTCTCTTCCAACAGAACACAACAATTCGAAACTTACTTCCGCCTTTTCTATTTTGTTTTTTCTCCTGCTTTGCGTTGATTTCACTGTCGTCATGCCACGCGTTTGTGATGATGTTTCGATCGTCCTGTGTACTTTTATGTTTGATTTTCGAAGTGTGTGTACCCCTTTTTGAAGGTGTAGGTGCCCTTTTTGGGGGTACAGCAGTATGATATAAATACAGTTGGCCCGTGACCACGGCGGAACAAGGCTTCCTCGTCAGTTTGACCGGTATTTAGCAGAGTAGACAGACCAGAACGATTAAATAAAATATGTATTAAGACAACAGTGAAAAGCTCTGATCCATTTTCTGTTGTTGTCCATCCAGATCGCTAAACCTACGGTCTCAGCTCCTTTGGCTATAGGCTAAACAGCTTCGATCCGGGGTCACCCGGAAGAATCCTTCTGAGATGGACATGTTTTTTTTTTTTCTTGTATCAAGCTCGAAACGAAACACTCGTCCTCGTTAGTTTTCAGATAGACAACAACAGACAATAGGGCGTTCCGAAAATGACACTTGCGGCTGTTTGTGGGGCACAAAAGGGTACAGGAGGATCTCATCATGCGCTCGTTGGATGGCCGCCCCGTCTACCCGTGTGTAAAATGTAGAGCTCTTGGAGGTAGGTAGGTCAGGTGAACCGAACTTTGTCGCGGAATGCCCCCCTCTCTCTTAGCATAGGAAGTGGGCTGAAGAGGCGGGAAGTGATATGGACGGGATAGATAGGACAGATAAAAACATTTATTGAGCACCTTTGGCAAAGTAGGAAGGAACGATTGACCATCGGTGATCGGTCCTCCTGTGGGAACAATGCTCCGTCCTCTCGAGGACGCGTGGTCGATGGCCCAACAACTAAGTGGTAGGGCATACTAAACATGAGCACGCCCATCCCCCCCCCCGCCCCCCTCCCACGCCCCAGAGAAAAGAAGACCGCGTTGTCCTGCTTGATTGTTTATGCTTGATGCCCTCCGGAGGCATAACAACCTTAGCAAAAGTTGTTTCAATTCACATGGAATGGAATGGTGCTACAACTACAAACTGACCTGTGATCTCTTAATGAGAGGAGGGGGCATCTGTCTGCCTCTCTCTGCCCGCTCAACAAAACGGGTCATCACTGGTCATTTGAAGCAAGGGAGGACAGACATATTGATGTTGGTTGACCGTTTGCATGGCAGGCACCAAGAAGGGCCCTTCTTCAACTTCATCGCAGAAAAACACGCGGCCATCGATAATTCCCAACATCGCTGTCGCGGGGGGGGGCGTGTGCGCCTAGGCTCTATCCCCGGTGTCACGCCCCCTACAATACATATGCCACACAGACTCCAATCAACGCACGCACGTGTGCATACCTACAAGCTACCAGGCGCATCGATCGCCGCTCGACCGACCAACAAGAACGCAATAAAAATGTTACGTATTTCATTCCATCGATGTGCTTCAAGATGCAGCAGTCGAGAGTTTCCGATTGTACTTGACATGCACCGGTAAGAAAGGGGAACCCTAGCAGAGACTGACGCCGCCGTGGTGCTACTGCACTGCGATGCACGCCCTTCGGCAAGGAAGGCTAGAGGCATCGAGAAACACGGTAGGGGGGGGGGGGATACAGCAATGATACGGGAAAAAAAATACGTGGTTCCAAAGATCGTTCCGCGACAACAACGAAGAGGTACAAAAACAGACAAAATCAGAATGTATCCTCTGGTGTCGCATGTTGGTCGGCCGAATCACATACCATCGTCCCGCCGTGGGAGGCGGTTCAAGCAGGGGGACTTGTCCGCGAAAAAAGTCATCGCAGAGTGCGTGACACAAGCACTGAATAACGTTCGTTTTCAATTCCTCGACCGGTTGTTCATCCATACACGCCCACATACGGGAACACAGAAAAGCCAAGTCACGCGCAAACCTGCGGGGAACACTGAAAAAAAAAAGAGTCAAGTCACCATCACGGGGGACCACCGGCCTGTCCGCTGCCTCTTGCATTCCACGGAGCCTCCCACTTTTGACACACGAAAGAAACAGATTCGTGTCTTTTCTACCACACATAGAACACTTACTATCATTTTCAATGACGTCTAGATAAAACACAAAACTAGCGTAGTACAACAAGGCTACACACAACAAACACCCGAAACGGCGGCGTATAAGATTTATTCGGACACAAGACACTCAAGCACATATATCTACATAAAACAACCAATGACCATCTGATGTCACATCCTGAACATCACCGCCGCCAACACCGCCGCGAGCAACAGCCACGACGAGGAACGATACGACCCCGCTCTGCCCAAGCCTGCCCACAACGCGGCCTCGGCCCCGCTCACAACCGCCCCGGGACAGGAGGCCCATGCCTCCTCCCTAGTAGCGCCAGCAGCAGCAGCAGCTGCAGCAGCTGCAGCAGCTGCAGCAGCAGCGGAGGAAGGGCCAGGCGGCGCAGACGGCGGCGACGATCGTTGCGACCCCGGTCGCGAGGAGGACGAGCCTTCTCGGTAGCGGTTGCCGTTGGTGGACGGCCCGACGACCCCGTCGCAACCTCCTCTCCCATCACCGCCGCCGATACCACAGCCGCCGTCGGTAGAAGACGAAGGAGGAGGCGTGCTTTCCAAAGCGGCAGCCGTGTGCCTTGCCGCCGAATAGAGGGCCGCGTTCGACGCCCTCCAGGCTCGAACTCCCACCTGGGGGGGGGGGGGAGCGCAGGTGTGTTGTATGTGAGGCCGGGATTGTTAACCTCCTGCAAAAGCACAGCAGCAACCTCCATACGAATTCCCCGTTCCATCCAGAAATAGTGTCAGGTAACTGCACCAAACGGAACCGAAAATTCATACATGGGAGATGGAACGTTTTCGGCGAGCGCAGCGCGCGTGCGATCCGCAGGGGTACTGAGGCAACGTGCATAGCCAACATAGGCAGGAAGACGAGGTGGTGTCGGTTGTTCGGAAGCCGGTCGGTCACACACGCAAGTGTTCTGCGTATACACTAGGTTTAAGCAAGCCACGAGCCACGCCCTGAGCGCGGGGAAGGCTACAGGAAGGGTCGGTCGAGAGAACCGCGAAACACGCAAAAACCTTCCCGCCAAAGCAGGCAAACCCATTCCCGCGTCGGCTCAAACATGTGCTCGGGATCAGCGACGACACACGATTCGTGGAGAAATTGATTCTACAGGAAAAGACGACGCTGCGCCTAGAGCGAAGGTAAGACACGCACCCGAGAGAGGCATGCCTCCATGTTCCCACACGACCACCGTGCCTTGACCCCGCAAGACGACACGCACGTGGCAAAGTCGTATACTGCTGTTGTTACCCTTGTTAGACCCAACCGGAAACCTGACCGCGATGTACATCCCAAAAAACCCCGACCAAAAACCACCCCCCTCTCGTTCGTCTCTCATCCCTGAACCAAACCGTCCCCTGTGCTGCGGCACCCTTCATCACCTGGAGCAGCTTCTTGTGGTGCATCTCCACGACTATCAGGAGGCACGCGCCCACCACCTCCCAGCTCTTGGATGCACGACGCTGACGGGAGAGCACAAAAAAAAACATCATAGCACAGGAATAACACAAGACACAGGCACGAGCGTGGAAAGGGATGGGGGGGGGGGGGGGGGGTACTCATAGTCGTGCATGCCGTAGTCGTTAGACCATTGACCTCGCATCCCTACAAAGCCGGGACGGAGCACGCCGGGTTCTCACCGGACCAGGCTCTCACATCACCAAGCGCGAAGCGCCGTGAGATATTTGGCGAGTCGCATGAAGGGTGAGCTGCATCCTGCTAAGGGTGTTCGGCATCTTGTGCTTACTTACTTGCGTACGGATGACAGCTACGTATCACTTAATTTATTTTCTGGTGCTTTCACTTCCAGAGACAGTGGTAAGCACTGTGTAACTGCCTCGAGGATGCTTGACCATTTTAACACAACGTGGTTCGATCATCCTCCTTGCGCGGAGTGAGGGTTCTCCCCCCCGCACAACATGATTTACTGGCCCACCATTCATGGTTACCGCCAAAAAAAAAAACGAGGTAAAAAAAAAAACGGTAACGTGGTTGCCGAGTTCACGAAGTGAATTGGCTTGTTTTACAACGTCGTTGCCAAGCGACGAAAACCCAATCCCGATGGCAAACACCGAGGGGGGGGGGGGGGGGCACAAGGCGGCAGGATAGGTGAGTAGGGTACTAGGGGCAGAAAAAACGTTGCTATATGGCATACATTGCCGGGCCATATTCTACGCCTCCGTATTGTGTTTCGAACTGCGGAGGAACTGGAAACACAGAAACTCCTTTTCCGCACGTGCTGGGCTGCCGCTATCCTGCCCTCCCTCTCAGCGCACCGCAAGCCGTGGAAAAAAAAAACGGTCTATCGTCGTCGTCGTCGCCACACATCGACTCACCTGTATTCGACCCCACTCCAAAACGTCCTCCAGAACCACGTCCCCGGGCACACCCTCCATCGAGCACGCCGCCTCCTCCACCCTTTCCACCGAACCCCCACCGTCGCCCGCGCCGCTGGCAACGGCGCCGGCATCACCTCTGCGGTTGTCCCGCACTAAACCCCTCGCACTTACAACCCCTCCGCCGCCGCCGCCGCCGCCGCCGCCGCTGCCGACACTGCCGACGCCGCCGTCACCCATTCGACGCAGCAAGCTCTCGACATCGTCGTCGTTCTCCACACCACTGCCGTAGGTTTGCTGTTGGAGGGTCGCGGAAGAAGCCACGGTAACAATCTGCCAGGAGAAGTGGACATCGGGGCCCACCCTTACGGCGACT